TGACTATACAGATAGCTGATATTGGGCTCTATCAACTGGTAAAGTAGATATTGAGATGACTATACAGATAGCTGATATTGGGCTCTATCAACTGGTAAAGTAAATATTGAGATGACTATACAGATAGCTGATATTGGGCTCTATCAACTGGTAAAGTAGATATTGAGATGACTATACAGATAGCTGATATTGGTCTCTATCAACTGGTAAAGTAAATATTGAGATGACTATACAAATAGCTGATATTGGTCTCTATCAACTGGTAAAGTAGATATTGAGATGACTATACAGATAGCTGATATTGGGCTCTATCAACTGGTAAAGTAAATATTGAGATGTCTATACAAATAGCTGATATTGGGCTCTATCAACTGGTAAAGTAAATATTGAGATGACTATACAGATAGCTGATATTGGGCTCTATCAACTGGTAAAGTAAATATTGAGATGTCTATACAAATAGCTGATATTGGTCTCTATCAACTGGTAAAGTAGATATTGAGATGACTATACAAATAGCTGATATTGGACTCTATCAACTGGTAAAGTAAATATTGAGATGACTATACAAATAGCTGATATTGGGCTCTATCAACAGGTAAAGTAGATATTGAGATGACTATAGAAATAGCTGATATTGGACTCTATCAACTGGTAAAGTAAATATTGAGATGACTATACAAATAGCTGATATTGGGCTCTACTAACTGGCAAAGTAGATATTGAGATGACTATACAAATAGCTGATATTGAACTCTATCAACTGGTAAAGTAAATATTGAGATGACTATACAGATAGATAATATTGGGCTCTATCAACTAGTAAAGTAAATATTGAGATGACTATACAAATAACTGATATTGGGCTCTATCAACTAGTAAAGTAAATATTGAGATGATTATGCAGATAGCTGAAATTAAGCTCTATCAACTGGTAAAGTAAATATTGAGATGACTATACAGATAGCTAATATTGGGCTCTATTAACAGGTAAAGTAGATATTGAGATGACTATACAGATAGTTGTTATTGGTCTCTATCAACTGATAAAGTAAATATTGAGATGACTATACAAATAGCTGATATTGGTCTCTATCAACTGATAAAGTAAATATTGAGATGACTATACAAATAGATGATATTGGTCTCTATCAACTGGTAAAGTAAATATTGAGATGACTATACAGATAGTTGTTATTGGTCTCTATCAACTGGTAAAGTAAATATTGAGATGACTATATAAATAGCTGATATTGGTCTCTATCAACTGGTAAAGTAGATATTGAGATGACTATACAAATAGCTGATATTGGTCTCTATCAACTGGTAAAGTAGATATTGAGATGACTATACAAATAGCTGATATTGGTCTCTATCAACTGGCAAAGTAAATATTGAGATGACTATACAGATAGCCGATATTGGGCTCTATCAACTGGTAAAGTAAATATTGAGACGTCTATACAAATAGCTGATATTGGGCTCTATCAACTGGTAAAGTAAATATTGAGATGACTATACAGATAGCTAATATTGGGCTCTATCAACTGGTAAAGTAAATATTGAGATGAATCTACAGATAGCTAATATTGGGCTCTATCAACTGGTAAAGTAAATATTGAGATGACTATACAAATAGCTGATATTGGGCTCTTTCAACTGGTAAAGTAAATATTGAGATGACTATACAGATAGCTGATATTGGGCTCTATCAACTGGTAAAGTAAATATTGAGATGCCTATACATATAGCGGATATTGGGCTCTATCAACTGGTAAAGTAAATATTGAGATGACTATACAAATAGCTGATATTGGGCTCTATCAACTGGTAAAGTAAATATTGAGATGACTATACAGATAGCTGATATTGGGCTCTATCAACTGGTAAAGTAAATATTGAGATGACTATACAGATAGCTAATATTGGGCTCTATCAACTGGTAAAGTAAATATTGAGATGACTATACAAATAGCTGATATTGGGCTCTTTCAACTGGTAAAGTAAATATTGAGATGACTATACAGATAGCTGATATTGGTCTCTATCAACTGGTAAAGTAAATATTGAGATGACTATACAAATAGCTGATATTGGGTTCTATCAACTGGTAAAGTAAATATTGAGATGACTATACAAATAGATGATATTGGGCTCTATTAACTGGTAAAGTAGATATTGAGATGACTATACAAATAGCTGATATTGGTCTCTATCAACTGGTAAAGTAAATATTAAGATGACTATACAAATAGCTGATATTGGTTTCTATCAACTGGTAAATATTGAGATGACTATACCAATAGCTGATATTTGGTTCTATCAACTGGTAAAGTAAATATTGAGATGACTATACAAATAGATGATATTGGGCTCTATCAACTGGTAAAGTAAATATTGAGATGACTATACAAATAGCTGATATTGGGCTATATCAGCTGGTAAAGTAAATATTGAGATGACTATACACATAGCGGTTATTGAGCTCTATCAACTGGTAAAGTAAATATTGAGATGACTATACAAATAGATGATATTGGGCTCTATCAACTGGTAAAGTAGATATTGAGATGACTATACAAATAGCTGATATTGGGCTCTATCAATTGGTAAAGTAAATATTGAGATGACTATACACATAGCGGATATTCAGCTGTATCAACTGGTAAAGTAAATATTGAGATGACTATACAAATAGATGATATTGGGCTCTATCAACTGGTAAAGTAAATATTGAGATGACTATACAAATAGCTGATATTGGGCTCTATTAACTGGTAAAGTAGATATTGAGCAGACTATACCAATAATTTAAATTCAACTTTATTGGTAAATAGTACCACATCAATACAAATAGTTGAAATTGAGCTCTTTGTCTATCTATAGAATAGCTGATACAACTTAATCAACTCATGTTCACAAACTGGTTGAATTGTGCCTGGTGGGCATATACAGGTGGGAGTATCAGCCACGTTTATTGCCAGAATACATGTGTCACCATTTAAATATGGGATTTCACCTTCAATATTGTTACCCACTAGCAAGAATGAGATTGACTATATACCTACCTTGACAAACTAGTATATTAGCAACATCCCACTGGCCTGTCGCAAGACATTTAATACTGATATCACCACTTGCTACTTCATGTCCTTCATTACAAGTATAGTCTGCTTTGTTTGGGTATGTTGTACCACTTGCTGCAGTTCCTGTAGAAAAATTACCCGGTGGAACAGCTCCACAATTTGTCGCTGAAATAGAAGTAGAATATAATAATATGCCTGGACTTTTATATACCTGAAGTTCAATTGAGAAGAACGAACAATATATCAAATCGAGCAAGAACATAGATCGGATTTGCTATCAAGGCGAGGCAATATTGAGATGACTATACAAATAGTTGATATTGAGCTCTATCAACTGGTAAAGTAAATATTGAGATGACTATACAAATAGCTGATATTGGTCTCTATCACCTGGTAAAGTAAATATTGAGATGACTATACAAATAGCTGATATTGGGCTCTATCAACTGGTAAAGTAAATATTGAGATGACTATACAAATAGCTGATATTGTGCTCTATCACCTGGTAAAGTAAATATTGAGATGACTATACAAATAGCTGATATTGGGCTCTATCAACTGGTAAAGTAGATATTAAGATGACTATACAGATAGATGATATTGGTCTCTATCAACTGGTAAAGTAAATATTGAGATGACTATACATATAGCTGATATTAGTCTCTATCAACTGGTAAAGTAAATATTGAGATGACTATACAGATAGCTGATATTGGTCTCTATCAACTGGTAAAGTAAATATTGAGATGAGTATAAAATATAGCTGATATTGGTCTCTATCACCTGGTAAAGTAAATATTGAGATGACTATACATATAGCTGATATTGGTCTCTATCACCTGGTAAAGTAGATATTGAGATGACTATACAAATAGCTGATATTGGTCTCTATCACCTGGTAAAGTAAATATTGAGATGACTATACAAATAGCTGATATTGGGCTCTATCACCTGGTAAAGTAAATATTGAGATGACTATACAAATAGCTGATATTGGGCTCTATCACCTGGTAAAGTAAATATTGAGATGACTATACAGATAGCTGATATTGGGCTCTATCAACTGGTAAAGTAAATATTGAGATGACTATACAGATAGCTGATATTGGGCTCTATTAACTGCTAATGTAAATATTGAGATGACTATACAAATAGCTGATATTGGGCTCTATCAACTGGTAAAGTAAATATTGAGATGACTATACAAATAGCTGATATTGGGCTCTATTAACTGGTAAAGTAAATATTGAGATGACTATACAAATAGATGATATTGGGCTCTATCAACTGGTAAAGTAAATATTGAGATGACTATACAAATAGCTGATATTGGGCTCTATCACCTGGTAAAGTAAATATTGAGATGACTATACAGATAGCTGATATTGGGCTCTATCAACTGGTAAAGTAAATATTGAGATGACTATACAGATAGCTGATATTGGGCTCTATTAACTGGTAAAGTAAATATTAAGATGACTATACAAATAGCTGATATTGGTCTCTATCAAGTGGTAAAGTAAATATTGAGATGACTATACAAATAGTTGAAATTGAACTCTATTAGTAAATAGTTCGACATCAATACAAATTGTGACCCACTAGTAAGATTGAGATTGACTAGATACCTACCTTGACAAACTAATATATTAGCAACATCCCACTGGCCTGATGCTAGACATTTAATACTGAAATCACCACCTGCTACTTCATGTCCTTCATTACAAGTGTAGTCTGCTTTGTTTGGGAATGTTGTACCACTTGCTGCAGTTCCTGTAGAAAAATTACCTGGTGGAACAGCTCCACAATCTTTCGCTGAAATAGAAGTAGAATATAATAATAAGCCTGGACTTTTTTATACCTTAGGTTTAATTGAGAAGAACGAACAATACATAAAATCGAGCAAGAGTATCGATAGGAATTGCTATCAAGACAAGGCAATATTAAGATGTCTATACAAATAGCTGATATTGGTCTCTATTAACTGGTAAAGTAAATATTGAGATGACTATACAAATAGCCGATATTCTGCTCTATCAACTGGTAAAGTAAATATTAAGATGACTATACAAATAGCTAATATTGGTCTCTATCAACTGGTAAAGTAAATATTAAGATGTCTATACAAATAGCTGATTTTGGTCTCTATCAACTGGTAAAGTAAATATTGAGATGACTATACAAATAGCTGATATTGGACTCTATCAACTGGTAAAGTAAATATTGAGATGACTATACAAATAGATGATATTGGCTCTATCAACTGGTAAAGTAAATATTGAGATGACTATACAAATAGCTGATATTGGCTCTATCAACTGTAAAGTAAATATTGAGATGACTATACAAATAGCTGATATTGGACTCTATCAACTGGTAAAGTAAATATTAAGATGGCTATACATATAGCTGATATTGGACTCTATCAACTGGTAAAGTAAATATTGAGATGACTATACAAATAGATGATATTGTACCATATCAATACAAATAGATGTAATAGAGATTTTCTATCTATAAAAAAGCTGATACAACTGAATCAACTTCCGTTCACAAACTGCTTGAATTGTGTCAGGCGAGCATGTAGAGGTGGGAGTATCAGCGATGTTTATTGCCGGAACACATGTGCCACCATTTAAACATGGGTTTTCACTTTCAATATTGTGACCACTAGCTAGAATGAGATTAACTAGATACTTACCTTGACAAACTAGAATATTAGCAACATCCCACTGGCCTGATACTAGACATTTAATACTGAAATCGCCACTGGCTACTTCATGTCCTTCATTACAAGTGTATTCTGCTCCACAATCTTTCACTGAAATAGAAGTAGAATATATTAACAAGCCTGGGCTTTTATATACCTGAAGTTTAATTGAGAAGACTAAACAATACATAAAATCGAGCAAAGAGTATCGATGAGAATTGCAATCAAGGCGAGGCAATATTGAGATGACTATACAAATAGCTGATATTGGGCTCTATTAAGTGGTAAAGTAAATATTGAGATGACTATACAAATAGCTGGTATTGGGCTCTATCAACTGGTAAAGTAAATATTAAGATGACTATACAAATAGCTGATATTGGGCTCTATCAACTGGTAAAGTAAATATTAAGATGACTATACAAATAGTTTCAATTGAACTCTATCAGTAAATAGTACGACAAATAGTTGTAATAGAGCTCTTTTTCTATGTTTAAAATCGCTGATACAACTGAATCAACTCACATTCACAAACTGGTTGAATTGTGCCAGGTGGACATGTACAGCTGGGAGTATCAGCAATGTTAACTGCCGAAACACAAGTGCCACCATTTAAACATGGGCTTTCACCTTCAATATCACAGACCCCTAGACCTGTCAAAACAAAAGAATGCCATTGAAATAATATTGACAATCAAACTAACAATGGAGGTTTACGTTCATTTCTTCCTGTTAAGTATTTAAAAGAAAGGAGTATTGACATTTCCCACGAATTTCAACTCCTGGAATTTTAAAAATATTATAAAAATTATTTTTGCAGTATATTAGAATTGATGCATCATAAGATTTGAAATATTGAAATATGCTTCAAAGTATCTTGGATCGAGGTTTTTTTTTTCTTAAAATCGATTTTCAGGATCAGGGGATGATCGGATTAAATTGCTGAAAATACCATAGGATGCAGAATTTTGTTTCAGCCTTTTTGTGAGCTGACGAGACCTTTGTGTTTCTCTCGTTTTCATTACTACTTTGTTCTGTAGTGCATTGGTTTTACCCGAAACCGCAAATTTTAAATTACGGAATTTTGTTGGCGAAACATTATTAGCAGCTAATGAATTTTTAACATTAGGAAGTATATCAATCATAAGTGAGTAAGTATTCCATAATTCCAGTCGACCCAGCTGTAAATAGGTACGGATAATCCGAAATTAATGCCAAGAGGTATTGTCACGGATCAACTGGTAGAACGGATTCTTAACTGTGAATCCAAGTTGTTATCCTTGTAAAATATAGTCATTTCTCTCTTCCTTTCTTACAGTTCTTTTTCTTTTGGGGTGGGTCTTGTTGTTTGAGGGGCAGTGCAATTAAGATTTATTTTATTTTGAACTTACTGCAATCTTCACCAAATGTTCGTAATGGACAGTTACATTTTAATTTACCATTTTCTACCACCAAGTTTCCACCATTTTGACAATCCGGTATAGGCTCTAATAATGATAATAATAGAGATAATTTGTAATGATGATGGTAAACAAAATACACGGGACGCCGTAACTGTTTGTGGGATCTTACTAAACTGTCTATGGAATCTTACTAAACTGTCTATGGAATCTTACTAAACTGTCTATGGGATCTAACTAAACTGTCTATGGGATCTTACTAAACTGTCTATGGAATCTTACTAAACTGTCTATGGGATCTTAGTAAACTGTCTATGGGATCTTACTAAACTGTCTATGGGATCTTAGTAAACTGTCTATGGTGTCTTACTAAAATGTCTATGGAATTTTCGTAAACTGTCTATGGAATCTTAGTAAACTGTCTATGGTGTCTAACTAAACTGTCTATGGGGTCTTACTAAACTGTCTATGGGGTCTTACTAAACTGTCTATGGGGTCTTATTAAACTGTTTATGATGTCTTACTAAACTGTCTATGGGTCTTAATTAACTGTCTATGGAATCTTAGTAAACTGTCTATGGTGTCTAACTAAACTGTCTATGGGATCTTACTAAACTGTCTATGGGGTCTTACTAAACTGTCTATGGGGTCTTACTAAACTGTTTATGATGTCTTACTAAACTGTCTATGGGGTCTTAATTAACTGTCTATGGAATCTTAGCAAACTGTCTATGGGATCTTAGCAAACTGTCTATGGGATCTTAGTAAACTGTCTATGGAATCTTACTAAACTCTCTATGGGATCTTACTAAACTGTCTATGGAATCTTACTAAACTATCTATGGGATCTTACTAAACTCTCTATGGGATCTTACTAAACTGTCTATTGGATCTTACTAAACTGTCTATTGGATCTTACTAAACTGTTTATGGGATCTTACTAAACTGTCTATGGGGTCTTACTAAACTGTCTATGGAATCTTACTAAACTGTCTATGGTGTCTTACTAAAATGTTTATGGGGTCTTACTAAACGGTCTATGGGATCTTACTAAACTGTCTAGTGTCTAACTAAACTGTTTATGATGTCTAACTAAACTGTCTATGGGGTCTTAATTAACTGTCTATGGGGTCTTACTAAACTGTTGATGGGATCATTCACACAATGAAGAAAAACCGCAGACAACGTGGGACAGCGTTCCCTATAGACTCTTTTATATGGCTCATGAGCTACTTCGCCAAAACAATGCGCTAAAAAGAAATCTGGAATAGATATTCCCTGTACAATAAAGATCCATACCTGAACAGAACTGTCCATGAAACCCAGTATTACATTGACATTTTCCATCAACACATTTCCCCTTATAATTACAGTCTATCATGGCACAGGGATCAGCTGAAAATGACAAAGTATCATTAATGTATGTTAGGCATCGGTTACATACGCAGGGTTACGCATCGGGCTTATTATATGATCTAGAAACTGGATATAGTTAAAATACTTCACAAAACTAAACAAACATAAAATGTTAAATCTATTTCAAAGCATTTAGTTCTTTATGCCTTTTGTGTAAAAAATCTTAAAACGTTGCTAAATTATAATAAAATGGATGTAAAGGATTGAAATAATAAACGAAAGTACAATATTGTTCTATAAACTGACGGCTATTTTTAGATACAGGACAATTAATAACAATAATCCAGAGTTGCGGTTAGAAGGGTTCATTTACAATAGATTAACAACTTTAGAACCTGAATTCCATGCCGGATTGCAGCTTAGAAGAGTTATTGTCGGGCTATTGAGGATTTCCTTCTATAGATATAGTAAAATTTAAATTTCAAATATATCGGTTTAGAGATGATACCGGTTTAGAGATGATAACGGTTTAGAGAGGATAACGGTTTAGAGAGGATATTGGTTTAGAGAGGATATCGGTTTAGAGAGGATAACGCTTTAGAGAGGGTAACGGTTTAGAGAGGATAACGGTTTAGAGATGATAACGGTTAAGAGAGGATATTGGTTTAGAGAGGATAACGGTTTAGAGAGGATAACGGTTTAGAGAGAATGTCGGTTTAGAGACGATAACGGTTTGGAAAGGATAACGGTTTGGAAAGGATAACGGTTTAGAAAGGATAACGGTTTGGAAAGGATATCGGTTTAGAGAGGATACCGGTTCAGAGAGGATAACGGTTTTAGAGAGAGTAAAGGTTTAGAGAGGATAACGGTTTATAGAGGATACCGGGTTTAGAGAGAATAACGGTTTTAGAGATGATAACGGTTTAGAGAGAATGTCGGTTTAGAGAGGATTACAGAGGATAACGGTTTGGAAAGGATAACGGTTTAGAAAGGATATCGGTTTAGAGAGGATAACGGTTTAGAGAAGATAACGGTTTAGAGAGGATAACGGTTTAGAGAGGATACCGGTTTAGAGAGGATACCGGTTTAGAGAAGATAACGGTTCATTGAGGATAACGGTTTAAAGATAATGTCGGTTTAGTGAAGATAACGGTTTAGAGAGAATGTCGGTTTAGAGAAGATAACGGTTTAGATAGGATAACGGTTCAGAGAGGATATCGGTTTAGATAGGATAACGATTAAGAAAGGTTACCGGTTTAGAGAGAATAACGGTTTAGATAGGATAACGGTTTAGATAGTATATCGGTTAGGGAGGATAACGGTTTAGAGAGGATATCCGTTTAGAGCGGATAACAGTTTAGAGATGATAACGGTTTAGAAAGGTTAACGGTTAAGAGAGAATAACGGTTTAAATAGGATGACGGTTTAGAGATGATAACGGTTTAGATAGAATGTCGGTTTAGAGAGGATATCGGTTTAGAGAGGATAACGGTTTAGAGAGGATAACAGTTTAGAGAGGATGTCGGTTTAGAGAGGATATCGGTTTAGAAAGGCTAACGGTTTAGAGAGGATAACGGTTTAGAGATGATAACGGTTAAGAGAGGATATTGGTTTAGAGAGGATAACGGTTTAGATAGAGTAAAGGTTTAGAGAGGAAAACGGTTTAGAGAGGATATTGGTTTAGAGAGGATAACGGTTTATAGAGGATAACGGTTTAGAGAGAATGTCGGTTTAGAGAGGATAACGGTTTAGAGATGATAACGGTTTAGAGAGGATAACGGTTTAGAGAAGATGTCGGTTTAGAGAAGATGTCGGTTTAGAGAGAATTTCGGTTAAGAGAATATAACGGTTAAGAGAGGATAACGGTTTAGAAAGAATAACGGTTTAGAGAGGATAACGGTTTAGAGATGATAACGATTTAGAGAGGATCACGATTTAGAGATGATAACGGTTTAGAAAGGATAACGGTTTAGAGAGGATAACAGCTTAGAGAGGATAACGGTTTAGAGAATATAACGGTTTAGAGAGGATAACGGTTTAGAGAGGATAACGGTTTAGAGAGGATAACGGTTTAAAGAGGATAACGGTTTAGAGAGGACATCGGTTTAAAGAGGATAACGGTTTAGAGAGGATAACGGTTTAGAGAGGATAACGGTTTGGAGAGGATAACGGTTCAGAGAGGACAACGGTTTAGAGATGATAACGGTTTAGAGAGGATGATGGTTTAGAGCTGTTTCACTATATTAATAAGGCATGACATAACTAAGTCTATGATAGCTTTATCGTTTTGCCCCCCCCCCCCCCCCCCCTTCACACACACACACACACGCTGAAAACACAAGGTTTAACAGAGCCAATATTTCTATTGATTTGACTAATATTTCCAACTATGATAAAGATAGACTTACGTTTTGGGCAGCTGAATTGTATAACGATATATTTCACTATGGACCATTTCAAACATTTAATGATAGTTATCTCACGAAGAATGTCTCTATCTGCTTCTTGATATCGATAGTATCTACGTTCCTCTTCATATTGATTGTCTCTATCTGCCCCTTGATATCGATAGTAACTACGACCCCCTTGATATCGATAGTATCTACGATAGTATCCCTCTCCAACATCAATCAAAACAAGTACAACCAACACAGCAACAAGAAAATGTAAACGCATTGTGAATAAAATACCTGCAAAAGAGACTTAGTGTGAAATTATATTCAATCGTCAATTGTCAATTTGCCAACAATGGAGTATACGTGTCTCTTGAGCAGAGTTTCTCAAGTATGAGATGCCACTTTCATTAATTGGAATTGTTTAAGCTAAATATCTATTTCTACTATCATCGTAGAGGTTTTTGTTTAACAACCAAGTTTAAACTTGTCATCACAATAATATATCGAGTTTCCACCAGATGATTGTATAATTTTACATTACTCTAGTTGTTTGTTTTACCCCCCTATCTTATATGTAGGCTAGTATTAAGCAGTAATGACATGTTAGGTATCAGGTAGGGTATGCTTACTCTTATCATCACTTGAAGCCACTTTTCATAATTAAATGCTTCCTCGTGGATGCTTGTGTTTAGAAGATTTTTTCTTATCATATAACAATTATTGTGACCAGTTCTCTCCCTTTAGCTTAATAACTATGCAAATTAAGTAGACCATGCAATCACATAAAGCACTATAGGTTATGAACATATGCCTAATGAATAAACTCCCTTACAGGAAACAAAGCAAAAAAAAAAAAAAAAATCCGGACAGCCATATTCCAATTTTAAACTCATTCAATGATATAAACCCTCAAACCCTGAATACACTAGTTTTAATTTTAGAGAGATATCCTTTCTGAATATTCTTAGCAAAATAATCACATCAATATTAAATAAACGTTTAACGGAGTGGTCAGATCATAGTACTATTTTAGTAGAGGAACAGGTTGGTTTGAGGAAAAAATATTCAACTATAGATAATATTTTTATTTTGAATAGTATCATTGAAAATTATTTGTCCAAGAGTAAAAATGGGGTTTTATACTTAAACTGTGCTTTAGACTTTTAGAATTGCCTCAAATTATTTTATCTGTTGATAAGAATAATATTAAAGGGCCAATGTTTAATATCTTGCATGGTATATATAAGTCTGTATGTTCTAAGGTTAAAGTAGGTAGTATGGTTTCATATTCATTTCCATGTAGTTCAGGGGTAAGACAAGGTTTTATACTTCGCCCATGGCTATTTGGATTTTACATACATGAATGATGAAAGCAGTAGATCTGGGATATTAATTGACCCATCTATTGAAGATATGTTCATGCTACTTTTTCCAGAGCATCTGACTGGTGATTCAATTGGGTGTCTTCAGCAGAGACTAAACATATTATGATAATTGGAATATGAATGTCAAATTAGAAAAAAAGCCAAATATTGGTTTTCGAAAAACGGTGGTACACTTTCAAAGAAGGAAAAATGGTTCTAGAAAGGGAACTAATTTCAGTCTGTAAACCATTACAAATATTTGGGTGTCGTTCAGTGGTTCCGTTCTAGATAGCATGGGTCGAGAAAATTGGTGTACTAAAGTTAAAAAAAAACACATATTGTGTTATACGGCCTTTGCATTTGCATTTGCATTTGGATTGCACAGGGCATGGTTGGTGATATAAATAGATTTATGAGTCTGTTAAGAATTAAATGCGAATGTTGTTATTTTATTCAGTGATCCATCTTCATTTCGCACTAGAAGATTTGAGAAGTTCTACTCAGGAATTGTTAATTGAAAAGGGGCGTTGACAAGGAATAAAGCGAAACCGTCGTATTTGTCCTTTATTTTACTCCAAGTTCTGTTCTGTTCTTACAGATGTTAGTGTCAATTGTCAACCTTAATTTTATAAGAAGAATCCTTTCAAGTTAGGTTCCCTTATTTTCATTTATTTATAATTCCATTATTGGACGGATAGTGCATATATAAATCGAAAGTAGAGGTATAATAAAATGTTGTTTAATTTTACTTTATTATTAGTCTCTGATATAATCTTAGTAAGATATATAGAAGCAGGAAGGTAAACAAATACAGGTAACATTATCAAGTAAAATGATTAACAACCAAACAACACAGGATATAAAGGCCTTTATGGCCTCTATTGATTTACCTATATATATCCTGTATTGTTTAATTGTTAATCATTTTACTTGATATCGTTACCTGTTTTTGTTTCGAAACGTAGTAAGTAATAAACCTAGAAGTAGTATATCTATATAACTTGTGTTTTTAATGTTACCTGTATTTGTTTCGAAACGTAGTAAGTAATAAACCTAGAAGTAGAATATCCATATACCTTGTGTTCTTAATGTTACCTGTATGTGTTTCTAAACGTAGTAAGTAATAAACCTAGAAGTAGAATATCCATATACCTTGTGTTTTTAATGTTACCTGTATTTGTTTCGAAACGTAGTAAGTAATAAACCTAGAAGTAGAATATCCATATACCTTGTGTTTTTAATGTTACCTGTATTTGTTTCGAAACGTAGTAAGTAATAAACCTAGAAGTAGAATATCCATATACCTTGTGTTTTTAATGTTACCTGTATTTGTTTCGAAACGTAGTAAGTAATAAACCTAGAAGTAGTATATCTATATATCTTGTGTTTTTAATGTTACCTGTATGTGTTTCTAAACGTAGAAAGTAATAAACCTAGAAGTAGAATATCCATATACCTTGTGTTCTTAATGTTACCTGTATGTGTTTCGAAACGTAGTAAGTAATAAACCTAGAAGTAGAATATCCATATACCTTGTGTTCTTAATGTTACCTGTATGTGTTTCGAAACGTAGTAAGTAATAAACATAGAAGTAGAATATCCATATACCTTGTGTTTTTAATGTTACCTGTATTTGTTTCGAAACGTAGTAAGTAATAAACATAGAAGTAGAATATCCATATACCTTGTGTTTTTAATGTTACCTGTATTTGTTTCGAAACGTAGTAAGTAATAAACCTAGAAGTAGAATATCCATATACCTTGTGTTTTTAATGTTACCTGTATTTGTTTCGAAACGTAGTAAGTAATAAACCTAGAAGTAGAATATCCATATACCTTGTGTTTTTAATGTTACCTGTATTTGTTTCGAAACGTAGTAAGTAATAAACCTAGAAGTAGAATATCCATATACCTTGTGTTTTTAATGTTACCTGTATTTGTTTCGAAACGTAGTAAGTAATAAACCTAGAAGTAGAATATCCATATACCTTGTGTTCTTAATTAGTCTCTGATATTCAAATTCGCAAATCTCTTTTCTTTGTCTTCATAAAACCGATCTTAAGATGGAATCAACTCTTGATCGTAGTTAATGTCAGTGTTGATTCTAACATGAGTCAGGTAGTACTATTTTAAGACCAGATATAAACACAGACCAATTATTACTGAACGTATCACAATATAACCGTGTTGTAAATTACTACTCAAAGACAGAATAGTGGAACCCTCATACGTCGGTATGTCAGTACAAATAACTTAACAGTTGGAGTCATAACATTATAGAGGTGCTCTAATGGATGGGGAAAATACCAATAAGTATAGGTCAATTACTGTGTAGAGCACAACATGTAAGGAATCATATAACTGTGTATAACTATCATTATATTGGTATTTGAAATTATTAGTATAAAATACGTTGTTGAAATAAGTTAATGAAATAATTATACTATATTATCATTTGGTTTCATAAAGTAAAATTCTGTAAAATGTTATAGTGATTTACAGAATTCCGCAATTTTTACGCGATTTCTTTGGCAACATAACTGCCAGATTTTTCTCTGTAAAAATTACGGAAAATGTGTTGCAGTGTACATAATGTAGTTTTGTTGACCGATTCTGAATTAAAAAAAAAAACAATGCGTACAATGGAATAGAGAGATGAGGAAAGGTGGCCAGGCCCTGCTAGGTAGTAGCTAGACGAGAGGTGCACCCTCGACCCCCCTCCCCCTTCCTTTAAAGATTTTAACATTGTTTATGAACATCTGGAGATATATATATATATAATGCTTGAGGTTTATGAAAAGAACAACTATTAATAATGTATCTTAGATCGCCACACTGTATCTGTGGAGCCGCAGTGACTCGGTGAGTTAGTCGTTTGCTCTCTAATCTGGAGGTTCATTGTTCGATCCATGTATATACGGGGCATATAATATCATCTATATACAGCATGAAACAACTTTCTCTTGAAAGTCCACCCCAATAACCAATCAATTATTACAAAGTTTTCTACTTACGGTTTAGTTTGTGTTAGTTTCTGATATGTTGTCTCCATTTTCACAGGGTTTATATTGCTAATGGTGAAAAAGAAATTGCTCGAAAAATTGTTATTGCGAGAGTTGGACAACCCATTTGAAATATTTTTGTTTACCAGCTGTATAGCAAGTCGATGTCACCTGTAGGTTGTCTTGGATTCTCTATCATTGGGGGCGACACGTGGGTGAGTAATCTGTGGCACCTGTAAATTAAGTTACAGTTCTCGATCGAACACGTGCGATGTAGAAATAATTTCAAAGGGCTATGGTATTTATAGAAGAATAGATCGAAACATCTGCCACTCTTGCAGCATCTGCTAGTTATTTGAACAGTTGTCACCTGGAGTAACTAGGCTCAGTTTTGTTGGAATTTTCCGAATCTCCGATTGTTCGGGTTTTAAACCTATCTATTTAAACCTTCAAAACCCATATATATTCGAATAGATGGATATTTAAGTTAAGTTAAGCACCATCTTTATCCCCCTAACCCATATCACGTCTGTGGATAACCATCAAACTAATCTCTCAGACTGTCTGTACAGCCACAAGTTCAAGGGTCATAGGATCAACTGATACTAACAAACCAAAAGTAACAGTGATGGCAAACATTAATATTCAGTCATCGTACAGGTAACTTGGTATATGTTCAAATACACGCACCTTCGGAGATTTTGAATATCCCCACCAACAATGACTAGACCCTAGTTCAGCTGACAACAGCATTGACAACTATCATAATAGTTATGATAGGCTGGGATAGAGATAGATAATTCTGATAATTCGTGAGACCGGGTCGTGAGACTCGGACCTGGGTGGTGGTCACTCGATCTTATTCATTATTCCAAACTTGTTCTGATCGTGGTAATTGTTTGATTGGTAGTCGAATAGTAGCCGTTGGTTTGGTTTGGTTTGGTTTGACTATTTGATAACTGTTGAAAACTACAAGACCTGAAAAAAATAGAGAATGTGAAAAAAGAGGGAGGAAGAGATAAATTGGGGAATAGCTTTCAACAAACGATGAAACTTGTTACATTGCTTGGGAATAAATAAAAGTGTTTAGAAACTTTGGTTTGGTAGTTGTGGATTATTCTTCGTATTTCAGCGATAACTTCTGATCTGCAATTAGAAGAGGTGAGAGAGATAGATTAGATGCTGATAAGTGACGTGGATAGGATTCGGGCAGGCTCCGTGTGATTGACAAAGAGACATACTACTGCTTCCCTGATGACAAAAAGTTCTGCTGTGAACACTAAATAGTGGGGGGGGGGGGGGGGGGGGGGGCCCTTCAAAAAAGGCCTTTTGAGG